AGGACATGAATGCTAGTTCAGCCTTTCAAATTCCTTATGCTTTCATATATACCCTGCCAAGGCATTTAGTCCAGAGAAAGAAGGATGTCCCTTTTTATGTTTGGTTGGCTGGCTGATTGGTGCAGCCATACAAAGTATCCTCAGCACTGACTTCACAGAGTTTCATGCTCAGAAAGCATAGCAAGATGGTGATAAACTACAGTTACCTGATTGTAGAACTTCCTCCAGGTCTTCAATACATCTTCTGTTCAGGCTGATAAAGCTGCTTGTGATCAGTTCCAGGAATGAAGAGAATAAATAAACTAGGCATGAGTAGCCCTTAAGGTTTATCCTGACTTACAGCCATGTCTTGCTAACCATCTGGAACTGTGCTGCACACATATGAATGGGGAAGGAGAGATAAAGAACAAAACCAGCTTATAGAAAGACTTGCAGGAACATATGGGTGAACAGAATCCTGTAAGAGTTGCAATGCAATTGTCAGCAGCTGCTCTGCTAGCATCATGTGCTTCTGCTAACATTTTATCTGGAGGTGTGCAAGTGTGATGAAGTCAAAGAGCCATGTGCTGCTATACTCATTAGCTTTTGTGCCAGCTTTAGAAGCAAGAAGGCATCTTTTAAAAACCTGAAGCTGACTCCAGATGAAGAAAATGGAAAGGATAAAACTCTGGTGGATTAAATATAAAAATAAATGGAAGAAAACTTCAAGGAACTAAAGTAACCCCATGATTTACAGTTTTCAGAATATAAAGAACAAGGAATCTGTCAACCCTCTCTGGTGGATCCACCGGTGTCAGGTTTTTAAAAGAGAAAAAAAACAATCCAAAACCTACTCATTGAAACTTGATTCCCCCATAAACAACAAAGCCATTGCAAAGAATCAAAGCGTGTGCCTTGCACATGTACTGTACCTGGAGGAAACACAAAACAGGCTCATGCTAGAAGCACTTCTGCGGGAGAGCTCAGGAGCTGTCTGATAATCAAGCATCTAGAAATGTTATTGTATTTGCAGAACTTTTGTGGTTGGAAGGGACCCTTGGAGATTGTCTAGTCCAACCTCCTGTTAGAGGAGGGTCTGAGCAGCTTGCTCAGTACTGTGTCCAGTTGGGTTCTGAATATCTCCATGGATGAAGATACCCCAGTCTCTCTGGGCAACCAGTGTTGGACCATCCTCAGAGTAAAAATTTTTTCATTTGCACTAAAATGGAGTTTCCTGTCTCAGTTTGTCTCCATTGCACCTTGTCATGTCACTGGGCACCACTGAGAAGAGATTAGCTCCATAGTTACTGCCTCACATCAGTATTTATACCAACTGGTAAGATCCCCTGGAGCTTTCTCTTTGCAGGTTGAACAGTCCCATCTCTCAGCCTCTCCTCGTATGAAGAGGTTTCCATCCCGTAATCAGGTTAATGGCCCTTCACTGCAATCCTGGTCCAGTACATCCCTGACTTTCTTCTTCCGACAGAATCCCAAGGTGGCCGCAGCGCTCCAGATGTGTCTCACCCGGTCTGAGTGGGCAGAGGGGAGCGGTCTCTTCTGGCAGCGCTGGCAGCACCCTTTGTAGCACATCCCGGGATGCTGTTGGCCACCTTTGCCGCAAGGGCGCATTGCTGGCTCGTGTTCAGCTTGGTGCCTGCCAGGAGCTCCCCGTCCTTTCCTGCCAAGCTGCCTTCCAGCCGATCTGCACGCCCCCCCAGCCTGTGCTGCTGCATGGGGTTTCCTGGCACTCCATCAGGTGCTAGGCTTTGCAGCTCCCTGCCCTGATTCCCATCATCAGATTTCTCCAGTTTGGTCAGGTCCCTGTGAACACAGTACAACCATCTGAGGTACTGACCACCCCAACCAATTCTGTACTATCTGTGAGCTTGCTCAGGGTTCACCCTGCCCCACCAGACAGACACTTAAAGGAGATGTTAACCTGTGCTGGGACCATTATCAGTCTCTGGGGTACACTGCTAGTGACTGGTCTCCCACTGGACTTCATGCCACTGATCACAACCCTCTGAGTCCAGTAGCTCAGCCAGTTCTCAGTTTTCACTGTCTAGCCTGTATACTTCATCAGTTTCTCTATGAGGATGCAATGGGAAATGGTGCCAAAAGCCACACTAAGGTGAAGATAAGCAACAGCCATTGCTCTCCCCTCATCCAGCAACCAGTAACTTCATCACAGAAGGCTACCATGTTGGTCAAACATGACTTCCTCTTCACAAATCTGCCCTGACTACTCCCAGTCACCTTTTTGTCATTTGTATGTTTGGCAGTGGTTTCCAGGATTATTTGTTCCACCACTTCCCATGGGATTTAGGTGAGGTTGAATGGCTTGAAGTTGTCTAAATCTCTGTTCTGGCCATCTTGCAGACATGAGTTAGATTTGCTTTCTTCCAATCCTCAGGAACCTCTCCTGACCACCATGACCTTCCAAAGTTCATCAACAGTAGCCTCACAGTGACATCAGTGAGCTCTGTCAGCATTTGTGAGTGCATCCCATCAGATCCCATGAACTCAGGCAAGTGTCATTTGTTTGGATGTTCCCTCACCCTGACCCTCACTACCAGCAGTCTTCCTTGCTCCAGACTTCCCACTGGTCTCTCAACCCTTGCATGTTTGTTACGTTTCAGTTTAATCAGGAGCAAATTTTTTATCCTTGCAAGCATTCTGCCACCTCTGCTTGATTTTCTGCTCATCAGGATGTACCCATCTCAAGCTTTTAGAAGGCAGTCCTTGACTATGAAACAGGTATCCTGAGCCTCTCTTCTCTCCAGGAACATAGCCCATGAAACTCTTTAAAAGCTCCCTGTCCTAGTTACATGGTTGATGTATATTACTAATACCGCTTTGCTTGGAAGGAGTTGTGCTGTGTTGAATTGTATTGGAATTCTTTAGGAGCACGAACAGCATGCAGATAAGGACCTGGCTGATACGTTTGCTCCCTTTGGATTTCCAAAGGTATTCAAAAAATCCTTCACTGCAAACTTTTAAAGGTACTCAGCAGCCACATTTAGGAGAGAAAATACTGGGCTGGGTAAGTTGAAAGGCAGGAGCAGAGTGTAAAAGTGGCAGTTCTCTCAACTAGGAAGCGCCCACTGGTGTTTCACAGGGTCATGTGTGGCTCAGCACATCCATAAACGAAGTGCAAGAGGGTGAGCCACAATGTAACCCCACCATCAGCAAATTTGTTTATTTAGGACATGAGTGCAAGGGCCAGCTACAAACTGGCAGGAGGAAATTCAAGGTAGATTGATGTAAAGTGGGGCAAACAGGCAAAATAATCCATATCACATAGAACTATGGATTCTGAGCCATCAGGCCTGAGATGTTTCTGGATTAGAATTAACTCAAAGCTCATCAGCAACCAAAAAGAAGCATATCAAATCTTTGCAGATGCTAAAGAATAGAAAGCATCTTTATGACAGCAGGTTACGATGTGCCTGTCTTGAGAGCTGTGCAGAGTTCTCACTCCCATTCAAAAGAGAGCTCAGTAAAACAGACGGACACATGTGCAGAGCTGATTACACCTTCAAGAGCAGGTCTTGGCCATCCAGTATTCTTCTGTCGAGTATAACAGAGAATTTGAAGGGTGCTTGATTTTTCAGAGAGACTCAAGTAGCACTTATTGATACTAAAGTGTCAATAAGCACAATAGCAAGTTCCTAGCAGTTTAAGCAACAAGCCACCTAGACTGGCAAAATAAATACAACACATAACTATCTAGAACTACTAAAACACTTTAATTCCATTTCTTTATTACATTCTTTTGAAGACTGGAGAAATATTTTTATCTAAGGCTTGATGTTAGGTGAGGCATGCCAATCTCTTTATCCAACATTTTATCTTACATGCCCTCAGCTAATCATTTTAAAAGGTAACCGGCTTGTTATGATAAGCTTCATAAGAGATTTCTTGTTATGCAACATGAAAAAGGTAAGTTCTTTTCCTATAGCATAATTATTTTGACAGAGAAAACACAGGAAATCTATTTCAGAATTTACCTTTGTTTTTTTGATCCCACGCAGCATTTTACAGTTCCAATTAAGGGGGACAGAAGAGCAAGAAATAGTTAAGCTCAGATGTGCTTTATAAACCATTAATTTCAATGGCCACGCCAAATACCATAAAAACCTACAGAATCATCTCAAATTCACATAGCTGCTCATTTCCAGGATTTCACAGGGCTAAGAACAGATGTGTGTCAAAAACCAGGAAGCTTGTTTAATTCCCTTGGGATTTTTCTCCAGAATGGAAGCAAGAGGGAGGAAGGGGAAAAAAGTAAAACAATTTGACTGAAACATCACTCACTCTCCTGTGTCAAGAAGTGGAGTCTTTGAACCAAACAGCAATATCAGCTACAGCAGACAGATCTTCCTAGCTCCAGATAAGGGTTCAGATCTCAATAGATGTATAATTATCAGTTCTGATAAATCAGGGATCAGAGCTTTTTGTCTCCAGCATTGCCTACAGCACTTCTTTTCTCAGACACATTACAACCAGGTTAGGAAAGACAGCAGAGAAAACATAAGCAGTACAGAGTATATTTCAATAGTGCTTTGAGCACTGGCAGAGGATCATTATTACTGCTTTAATCAGTTTTCCTTTTCAGTACTTCCAGTATCTTATCTAATACTTACCCATGCATTACAAGGAGTGAGTAACAGCCCCCTGACCCCGATTTAGGAGGTTTTGGTATCTATACATCTCCCTTCATACTTTCCCAATTATTTTTGGTTTTATACTCTGCCTGCACCTCCAAAACCTGGGAACTTCCTATTCCATACAAGATACTCTTATAGTACTTCAAACTAAATAAAGTTTACAATATACCAACTAGCAAGTTGCAACTCATACATCTGGCAGCACAGAGGTCTCACAAAACCACAAATTGTTAATGACTGTTCTTACTCTTAATAGCCTTAGACTGACAAAAATGTTCCTTGTTTAGATGAGTGTATGGGTAGTTCACATCTTCCATTTCAGAAAGAGCATACTCACTGAGATTAAGTACATCCAAGAACAAGAAGAAAACCCACTGACACTCTGTACTTCTTTTTCTGTATTCATTGATTTGTGATGCATACTCATTCCTTGGTAAATGAAGAGGAAAAGCTCAAACACACAAACCTAGCAAAGAACTACTCATAGCTGACATTTTGGAAATACCAAAAGGCATTAAATACAAAGAACCTTCCAGAAGAAGCCCCTTTTTTATACTTATTTGAAAACAGCTATTTCTCTGCACATCACATTCCCCATTTTCTCCCTGAGCAAGGAAGCACACAACAGGTCAACCAGAGAAAGCCAGAGTTGCTCTCGATCCTTGCCTCTATCCCCTTCCATGCTAAAACCCCACGGTTTTTATAAATGTATTTATTTATAATCTTCTTACAGCAAAACATCAAAACAGTTTCTTTTTTAAGGATAAAACACAGCAACAAAGCCTTTAGATCACACAGGGGCTAAATCATCATGTTCAGAGAAAAGGCAGGGGGAAAGAGGGGCCAGCAGCAAAGGAAACAGTCCCTAGTTTTCCTAGAGGCTCTGCTTGAGGGCCTTCAGGTTGAGAAGCAGCTGGGCTGCGCTTAGGCGCTCCTCTACATCAGCCTTCCAGCAGCAGCTGATAATGCTCTGCAGTCTCTGTCCCACTGGTGACTCATGGAAAACGGCAGCAGCCAGCGAAGGGCGCAAGTTGTAGGCTACCACAGCGTAGAGCACGTACTGCCGCTCGCCCAGGTAGGGCTGCTCCCGCATGACAATCTGCCAGAGGGTGATGCCAAACGAGTAGATGTCTGCTTTGGCAGTGACCCTCTCACCCTTGAGGAGCTCAGGGGCACGGTGTGTGTACGTGCCCCCCTGCTGGCAAACATGGGGGCTCTGGGACAAGCCCTCCTCCAGCTTCTGGGAGCACCCAAAGTCTCCAATCTTGCACACTCCCTGCTCAGTGATGAAGACATTTGCAGGCTTCAGGTCCAAGTGCACAATGCCCTGTGTGTGAAGAAAGGCTAAGCCAGTCACAATGTCACAAGAATAGCACACAGTCTCCTCCATGCTCAGGGCCTTCCCTCCACATCCTCCTTCATCATCTTCACCCTCTCTCCACACACCTCCAGTGCCATAGATTACATGGTGCAGGGTGATGTTGCCCACGTACTCCATAATGATGGTGCCCAGGCTGTTCTGGCTGGCTGGGGCACACGTGCTGGCAGCCACCACACGTACCACATTATTGTGTTGTAGCCAGGCTACGTTCAGCTCAGCCCAGAAGCTCTGCCGTGATGCCAGCCGGTTTTTGCTGCTCTTCTTCACCTGCTTCACAGCCACAGTGGCACCATGGTAGGTGGCTTTGTAGACAGAACCAAAGCCCCCAGAGCCAAGAGGCTGCAGGAGGCAGAGCTGATCCCAGTCAATGGAGCACCAGGCCAAGCGTGGAGGCAAGCGGTGGGTCTTGGTAGGCGGAGTTCCTCCCAGAGAGCTCTTGCTGTCTTTGCCAGGGATAACTAAGGGGCTGCTGCAGGGTCGCAAGTCCGCAGATGGGGAAAATTCAAAATGGAGAAAACAATTAAGAGGAATGGGTGATGGCATAATAAGGTGGAGAAAACAACAGGCAGGCAGTGTGTCGCTAATTGTTTTTGCCTGTTAAAACAGAAGACTGAAAAGTTTTCCCAACAGAAAGGACTCCAGAAAGCCTTTCAAAGCCTTTTATCCTCTCTTCACCATTCTCCATCCCACCCACCCCCAAATGAGCTGCCTCTGTCACAACTAGCTGAACCCAATGAGGCTCACCTGGAAACATTCTCCACCCCTGAAGCAAATCTCTAGAAAGCCAAGGCAAACGGATTTAAAGCTAAAAAGGTATTAACTCATGTGTATTTCACATCATTTCTAATCTCAAGAGGAAAGAGAGATGTTCTACCCATTGAATGCCTCTAGCAAAAATGCCCTGAGATTAAATAATGCAGTGATTGGTGAATCATTTCACCATGGCTCCAGGCACAAATGATCATCAGATACCTTAAACAGCTCAAAGTCGTATCAGAGGAAGCAGCTGAAATTGTGATTGCTAACATTTGATGAGGCTGTGGCAGGCATAACCAACTATAAAAGTGTGTTTGTAGAAATTTGCCACTTAAACTGACTAGGATGAGTCCTGTTTAGCTGCTCAGCTCTGCCTGTGCAGGACAGCAGCCTTAGTAGCAGCATAAACACAAATGATTGCTTTGTATAATCCATTAGATATAGCAGCTAGAATTATACACAAACATTTGGTCATCTTCCCATTGCACCCCATGCAGTTATTACAGGTGTGCACTTTATCGCTGGATCCTGCTTAGTGAGCTTATTGCTAATTCACAGAGCTGTTGTGGCAGAAATCAAGCAAGCATGATTTCACCTTGCTGGTCCCAGTAGTTTTTCAAAGGAGGTTTGGCTCTTTAAACCCTGCTTTCACATATTCACAGTGTTCATGCTATCTGCCTTTGTGTTTGGCACCTGCTGCACCTGCTGTGCATCAGAGCACCATTATGGAGCTTTTGGGTATTTTAGTAAGTATCTTTCTGCGTGTCTTGAGAAATATCTTGGAAAGTTGGGTCCCCATTTCCCTTCAGAATCTTCCTCCGGATGTCATCTTTGCCAGTACAGATCCTGGTGTGGGTCTTCAAAGATCAGCAGTGCCTGTTTCTCCAGAGTTTACCCCTGGGCAGCCTTGGCTCTGCAGGCTGTTCCTGAGTAGTTTTTCTCGTATTTCCTCTTCTTTTTGGTTTGCTTCTCTGTATGAGCTGAGGGGTGCTCAGAACATGTGCAAGCAGAACTGGAGCATTCTCCACCTTAAGATGGGTTTAGTTGCTCACCCCAACAGACACATATAATGTCCCAAAGACATCTTCTGACCCTACCTGAATTCAAAATCAGCTCAGCCAGAGGGTTTTGTAGTGAAACCAGTGATAGAGATCTTCCCTTGTGCTGAGATTTAGGAGAAATTTGATCAGAAGAAATTTGACATCACAATTCACAGGGAAGCAAACATAGACCAGAGGTGAATGAGAATGGGGAATTTGGGTTATCACCTGCCACTGTGAAACGGATAGGCTGTGGAGGAGCTACATAAATAGGTGCTAATATGCATTCTAGGAGTTGTTAACAAGTGAGAGTGCAGGAAGTTAGGGGTGCAGAGGGCTTTCTGTGAGACAGTCCCTGCAGATGGGACTGCTTGACAGCAAAAGGCTCTTCTTCCCTTGCCCCTTCCAGGAGGGACTTGACATCCTTGTCTCTAAATTGGAGAGACATCAATTTGATAGGTGGACCACTCAGTGGATGAAGAACTGTCTGGAGGGCCGCACACAAAGAGTTGTGGTCAATGGCTCAATGTCCAGCTGGAGACCAGTAGCAAGTGGTGTCCTTCAGGGATCGGTGTTGGGACCGGTCTTGTTCAACATCTTTGTCACTGACATGAACAGTGGGATTGAGTGCTCCCTCAGCAAGTTTGCCGATGGCACCAAGCTGTGAGGTTCGGTTGATACGCTGGAGGGAAGGAATGCCATCCAGAGGGACCTTGACACGCTTGTGAGGTGGGCTGATGCCAACCTCATAAAGTTTAACCATGCCAAGTGCAAGGTCCTACACCTGGGTCGGAGCAATCCCAAACACAGCTACAGGCTGGGCAGAGAAGAGATTCAGAGCAGCCCTGTGGAGAAGGACTTGGGGGTGCTGGTCGACGAGAAAATGAACATGAGCTGGCTTCAGTGTGTGCTCACAGCCCAGAAAGCCAACCGTATCCTGGGCTGCATCAAAAGGAGTGTGACCAGCAGGTTGAAGGAGGTGATCCTGCCCCTCTGTTCTGCTCTCCTGAGACCTCACCTGGAGTATTGTGTGCAGTTCTGGTGTCCTCAACATAAAAAGGACATGGAACTGTTGGAACAAGTCCAGAGGAGGGCCATGAGGATGATCAGGGGACTGGAGCACCTCCCATATGAAGATCGGCTGAGAAAGTTTGGGCTGTTCAGCCTGGAGAAGAGAAGGCTGCTTGGAGACCTCATAGCAGCCTTCCAGTATCCGAAGGGGGCCTATAGGGATGCTGGGGAGGGACTCTTCGTTAGGGACTGTAGTGATAGGACAAGGGGTAATGGGTTAAAACTTAAACAGGGGAAGTTTAGATTGGATATAAGGAGGAAATTCTTTCCTGTTAGGGTGCTGAGGCACTGGAATGGGTTGCCCATGGAGGTTGTGAATGCCCCATCCCTGGCAGTGTTCAAGGCCAGGTTGGACAAGGCCTTGGGTGATATGGTTTAGTGTGAGGTGTCCCTGCCCATGGCAGGGGGGTTGGAACTTGATGATCTTAAGGTCCTTTCCAACCCTAACTATTTTATGATTCTATTACATCAGACATGCTGGGAAGCTTTGGGGATGGGGGAACGACCAAAGGAGCTTGAGTGTAGTTTTAAATGTGCAGTGAAGTAAGCCATGGAGACAGCAGGTATTTTATGCTCCTTTTCTGAGCAGCACTATGATTTTATGCTTGTGTGAAGAAGTCTTCACTTCTGATCTTTGCAGAGAATGTTTTCCAGAGAGGTCAGTTGTAATGGAAATGAAAAGCCGCAGTAAGCAGAAGCTGTAGAGAAGAGAGAAAGGAATTTTATGCCTATTTTCTGAGTGCTATTAGGGCTCCAGTTGTAGCATGGACATCGGTGCAATATAGTATATAAAAGCAGCAGGGAGACATCCGTGCTGTGAATTCTCCAGGAACCTCATCCTTCTAATGGGAGAGCACTGGTAACAACCTGTTTTCACCAGGTTATGGTGTCAGGGAAGTTCAAAGGGAAAGTTGGTTGAGGGAAAGGAGTAGGCAGAAGTGCATGGATGAAGGGCCTGAGAGTGGACTTGTTAAGCTGACAACTACAGGAGCATTTCTGGGGATTCTGAATGCTACAGAACACAGCAGTAAAATCTGTGTTCATAAAACAGGGCTGTTTCCAAACTCCTTTGGTTGAAGTCTCGTTTGCAAGGATAGAGCAGACCTTCCATGGTACTTTTTCTAAACTCCATGTTCTCCCCTCTCTTTCCAGTTGTCCCTTTTTTTGGTAATTTTCCTGTTACCCTTTTTGGGTTTGCCCCTGTCATTCCAGGCAGGTTGTATTGCTCTTGGAGAATACACTGGATTTCTAAACAGGAAGACGACTGTGTTTTGGGATTAAATAGCCTTAATGTAACTCACTGTGCTGTCTCAAGCTGACTGCTGAGGACTGGAGCAGGGAGACATCCAGCGTCTTTCAGTGTGAATGCAATTAAAGCAGATTTGAAAGCAAGCAGGTTTTTAATAAATGTGATTTTCCTGTAACCATTGATGGCTCAGGCCCGGTGACCTCCCACAAGACACAACTGCTGTAGGACGTCCTTGCCACACTGCACAGCCCTGTTTGGCTCCAGCATTACCAGTGGCTGGAGGAGGTGATCACAGCATGGTCCAGGAAGCCATTTTCAGAGGTGAGCTGGGCTGCTGGGGACAAACTGCCCCTTCCCTCCTGGCCACCCTTCTCCAGGGGAACCCACAGCATCACAATCAGTACCCAGGGAACCCATAGCAGTCTCCAATCACACTGCTCCCATTTCTTATTTCCATGAGGGAGAAGGAAGCTGTATGAACCAAAAGCCATCGGCAGAGAATGCAACAGGAACTTTCATAAGTGACAGTCTGTGTCCCAAGGGCTGTCGTTTGTCACAGCTACCATAACCCGTGGCAGTGATGGTTTTGTTCCAAGCTTGTGTCACATTGTACTTGCACAGGCAAGTAAAACATGCCTGTGCATCTGATGCAGCAATAGCTGCCCAGCCTAATCTGTGCTTCCAGATGAGAAGAACCAGTCTCACTCAGTTCATCCATTTATATTTCACTTGGATATTGGGAGTACAGAAACTCCTTGGTTGCCATCACTGTTAGTTACTATTGCTGTTTGTTGAGTTGCTGGACAGAAGTCAACCCCAATAGCAAGGGCCCTAAAGGACTGTGGATGTAACCCACCCCAATAGAGAACTTGTACAAAACACCAGAGTTTCAATCTGATCAAAATGCATTATATTGTGGTACTTAACAGCCAAAGTTTTGTCTAAAACAGGAGGACAGAACTGGGGGTTGGAACTGATTTCAGAGAGTCTAACAGTGTATCACAATCATGACTTTGTACATTTGGTTGGTGTACCATGTAACAAACCCTTGAAGGCATGACTGTCCAGTGGCTTCTAAGAGCTGTTTTACAATATAGAGGTAGCACTGTATTTCTACTAGATTTCTTTATAATCTTGCTAAAGGAGTCAAATTTAAGTACTTAAATAACAGTCCTACTCTCAAACCACCACCATCCCTTAGCCTGTTTCTTAGTGATTTCTCAGAGGTTTTCTTCCCAGTTTCAAATCAAAGTTTTCTTTTTCTCTTCATTTACTGTCAGTCCCTATGATCTCAGTTTAGGATCTGATGATGAACCTACATTCTTCCTTTTGGATATAGTGTTTCACTGTCCAAATGTTGTTTCCAGGCACACCTCATTTACCTCAGATGATATTCAGAGTTGCCTGAAAGCAGTTCTGATATGATCAGTTGCACAGATGTGATACCATTATTTGAAGCCAGTCCATGCAGGCTCACTCTGAAGATACGCCACTGATTAACGTGAGGTTTTTTTACTACAAGCACATGCCAAAAGAGAATCCAGTTCATGTTTCAGAGTTTTGCTGTTTTGGTGAGACAAATGCCACCTTGGAATAGCAAATAAAAGCAAGGTTTCATTAAGGCAGGCAGAGGTAAACCCAAATGTAAAGAACAAGTACATTTGCAAGAACCGTGATGCTGTTTTAATGATGAGAGACATAATAATTTACAAAGGCTAATCCCTATTTTATAAATAGCAAGTTTCAAACCCACATCATTGCCAAGCAGCTGCTTGATGCTTTTTACCTTCCCAGTAAGGTTACTCACTCCATGTGTTCAAGAGCACGAAGTGAAGGCTCTCCTTACCTGAGTGCATGAGGTTCTAACTGGAGGCATTGGCAATGCAGGTGATGTATTTACTGTGGCCTTGGTGGCCACCACTGGCCAGGGTGGACCAGGGGTAACAATCTGGTACTTGCTGCTCATGATAAATATCACAATTGCATAAGAGCACCTTCAGACAAGCTAAGGGAATCTAAACTTAGGGATAAAGGTAATAAATGTGAAATGTAGGCTCTCACTGACAGCAATACTTCCTGACCATGCAAAGATGGTACCTATCCTGACAGATTTACTGTTTTCATATGGCAGGCACCTTATGCAGTATTGGTTTTGCAGTCTTGCCCCTGGGGCAAAACTGACTTTGCTGAATGACAGGATGATGACAAGAAGTAATGGCAGAATTTGAGACTTGTACTTAAGGACTACAAAACAGCTTCAATGCTTAATGAGAAGAATGAAATGCCCACAGCAAAGGGCCCACAGGGTAACATTAGTGTGATTCTACTGCCTGGAGACAGCTGCTTTCCCAGGTATGTAGATTTAATGCTGAGGACTAGGATGCAAATATGAAAGGGTCAGTCTTTTCCAGCAGCTCGCACAATCCCATTCATGCACATCATGCCCAGCTCTGTGACTCTATGTCAGACACACCACCATAGCAATGCAGTGGCTCCCTGCACACAGCACACCTTCAGAGAGCTGCAGAGGTGCAAGAGGATTACCTAGATGTGGTGGCTCTGAAATGATGGCCTGGGCACGCTGATGGGCCACAGCCAATTATCAGAAGTTGCCCTAAGTTACACAGTTTTAAGCCTCCCAGATTAAAAGGGGTTGTATAGTTTAAGTACGTTGTTACAAGGTTTGCATCAGTGAATAAGCAGAAGCTTCTTGTAAAAATACTGCTGAAGAAGCAGTAACTAAGCCGAACGGAGCAAATAAACTGTGGGGCAATCCTCTACTGCTTTATTGGCGTAGGGAGCCAGGCAGTGACAAAGTAAGAGGAGACAATTCTCAGATGAGGGCAGACTTCAGTGAGTTGCGGAGTTTAGTCTGTGTTTATTTGTCATTTAAGTTTGATATCTGATACTATTATGCTACAGCTCAGATGCTGCTCATTTGTGGCATATAACCATACAGAGCCTGTATTTTCAATGTAGTAATCTGTGAGGGAACGTAAGGATTCACCCGTGACCATGTGTGTCGCAATTTAACACAACGACAGCAAAGCAGAATGGAGCTTAATTTCAGAGGCACAGCTTACAGAACTTTTCTGCTGAAATTGTATCTAACACTCCACAAGGGTATCTGACAAACACCTTCCCCACAGGAGTCTCTGCGCCCTGGAGATAAATTGCTGTCGCCCACAGATTAATCATGTAATTGGAAGCAGCTCTCCCAACTTGCCTGGGAAACCACACGCTGTGTTAACTAGGAGATACCTTTACAAACTGCATGATTAATTTTGGACTTGTAAAGCACAAACACCTTACACTTAACCTTTTGATGTCAACCAAAATGAAACAAGTGTCTCAACGTTTCCAGGTTTGATTGCTACCCTCCCACGCACGCATGCATACATACACACACATATACAAAAGTTTAAGCAATGCACTAATTTTCAGAAACTGTGAGTATTCAGGTTCTCTGCATTATTTACACACATCAACCAGAGAAAGGGGCCTGTAAGAAAGATGGGGAGAGACTTTTTAGCAGGGCCTGTAGCAATAGGATTAATGGTGTTAAACAAAAGAGGGACATTCAGGACGGACATGAATCAAAAATTCTTTACAGTGAGGGTGGTGAAACCCTGGCACAGGTTGCCCAGAGATGTGGTGGATGTGCCATCCCTGGAGACATTCAAGGCCAGGCAGGATATCGATGAGAAACTGAACATGAGCCAGCAGTGTGCACTCACAGCCCAGAAAGCCAACCGTATCCTGGGCTGCATCAAAAGGACCATGACCAGCAGGTTGAAGGAGGTGATCCTGCCCCTCTGTTCTGCTCTCGTGAAACCTCACCTGGAGTATTGTGTGCAGTTCTGGTGTCCTCAACATAAAAAGGACATGGAACTGTTGGAACAAGTCCAGAGGAGGGCCACGAGGATGATCAGGGGAATGGAGCACCTCCCGTATGAAGACAGGCTGAGAAAGTTGGGACTGTTCAGCCTGGAGAAGAGAAGGCTGCGTGGAGACGTCATAGCAGCCTTCCAGTATCTGGAGGGGCCCTATAGGGATGCTGGGGAGGGACTCTTCATTAGGGACTGTAGTGACAGGACAAGGGGTAATGGGTTAAATCTTAAAATGGGGGAAGTTTAGGTTGGATATAAGGAGGAAATTCTTTCCTGTGAGGGTGGTGAGGCACTGGAATGGGTTGCCCAGGGAGGTTGTGACTGCTCCATCCCTGGTGGTGTTCAAGGCCAGGTTGGTCAGAGCCTTGGGTGGCATGGTTTAGTGTGAGGTGTCCCGGCCCATGGCAGGGGGGCTGGAACTTGATGATCTTAAGGTCCTTTCCAACCCTAACTATTCTATGATATGGTTCTGGGCAACCTTATCTACTTGAACATGTCCCTGTTCATTGCAGGGGGTTTGACTAGATGAGTATTGAAAACCCCTTCCAACCCAAACTATTCTATGCTCCGCCTGATTATATGAAAGTGACACTAAACCATTATTCTTCTTTGTACACTGTAGTTCAGTGCAACAGTGAAAATCAGTGTGAAAGACAAACTATTATGGATCAGTTAAAAAGGTTCCCACCCAGCCACGGTGTGCAATACTAAAGTCCTGTTTTCAGAGTGAGTGCTCAGCTGACAGCTGATGCTTCTTTAGTCCCCTCTGAGGCAATCTAGCTTTGCATCTGTTGATTTTACAACACAGATGTCCTTGAAGGAGACAAGGCTGTGGAATGATGATGACACTGAAGAACACAAGTGTTAATTATATTTTTAAAAAAATACTTATTTCTCTGAAAATGTTCATTTCTTGAGGACACTCAGACCATTACAACAAATAAATATTATGATTTAAAAATAATACCAGGCAAGACGTTACACCTTTATTAGGAGTCGATAAAGCTTCTATTGAATTACCTGGGATATAGCACCCAGCAGGAACTTGAAACTCCACAGTACTGCTGGGGTCTGTCACTTTCAACACCACTACCTCCACTGTTCGAAACACAGCACTGCTGTTTATTTGCTAAAGGCCTCAGCTCATAATGATAAGCAGCAGCTAATCCTCCAATACACTTCTCAAACTTTTAAGCACAGACTAAATTTTGCAACTGAGCTTACCTTGCTGCCTGTTCGTGATCACCAGCCCTTGCTGTGCCAACTGCGGCAACTGCTGCTTTGGGAAACCTAATTTCTATCCGATTTAATACATTGTTTTGATTTGCAAAGCAGGGAAGCCAAGAGCATGTAGCTGCTCAGTTCTTGCTAGTCCAGCAGGAGCGCAGCATCACAGTTCTGTATTTCTCTGTCAAACCTCCCTCCCATTCTTTATCCTAGGGAATGCTTGTATGTGGGAAGGATAAGAAGGAGAGTGAAGAGGGAAAACAGAATAGTCTTTCTCTTCCACTCCTGGAAGGCAGCAAGACCAGCTATAGAGGATGCTGAAGGACTACTTTTCTGTACTTTTGGATGCAAGTTTTGGAAAGGGATGGTTACAGGAATGAGAGAAGGGAAGATGCCCATGGCTCTGAATTTAACAAGGTGAGCTCCGGAGGGACTGCACCAAGAGGTCTTTGGATACAACATAGATATCATACATGCAATCACATTCCACTTATTACTCTGCTCATCTGGCTGCCTAGCACCTCTTCCCCCAGTACATTATTCAGACTTCTTTGGCAGTGTCATGGGCAGATGGGAGTTCTATAGGACCAAAGCAACAGAGTTTCTCCTGAAAGCATCTCAGAGAGACAACTCACACACTAGGTCTAGCACACGCCACACTCTTTCAGTGTATCCTGCGAACTATAACAGTCAATGTAAATGACTTGCTTTAATCTGGAAATGATGGAGAATCACTCACCTACATCTCTCAGACAACTGGTCCCACTACAAAATCCCCAAACTCATCTTCCAGTGTTTCACAACGTTTCAAAGTGCAATTTGATGGCAAGCTGACTTGCTTCCTTCAGTTCAGATGTGTCTCATCACAGACACAGTAGCATCATCCAGTTTGTTCCTTGGTGGAATCATGAAATGCAGATACTTTTGCTTTAAGATTGTCTGAAAAAATGATATTTTACCATCTGTAAATTAGAAAGACTATTACACCTTTGCACAGTCAGAATAACTACACCGAGCAAAACTGAATGCATTCTGTAATCCCAAATGTGCAGACCAAGGTTCTCTATTGAAATGCCAGGCATAAGTTATTCATTAACTAAAACCATTCTGTAATTTTATTGATATATTTTGTGGAGTTCACATATTTTTGTACAGCAAACATAACACTGTAGGCCACAAGAAGCTGCAGCACTATTGTTTAATAGCAGCAAGGTATATTTTATAATCAGGGTATGTGGACAATAAATAGTCTGTTTCTTTGGATGTGAATGTTTAAAATGAAGTTCTGCTGCAGCTTCATAATGTGATTGCTATTTTACAGAGCTTATACACAAAAATATATATGCAATCTTTTTGTCTATATTTTATACAAATACAACAGTAGTTTGTGAATACATTTTAAAGTACATATACATGATAAGCAACTCAATTTCCCATATCACAGGATAGCAAATTTTAAATGCAAGAAACATATACAAATTCTGTCTGGAATGCAGGGTTTTCTGTGTTCTTTTTTTTTTCTTTCTCTATTTTTGACTCAAAACTTTTCTCATTAAAACATAAAGTCCAAACCATTTTTCCACTAGCTAAAAATATAATTTCAGCAATCCAAGTCAGGTTTGGGTGTGTCATCGTTCCCCAATATACTTTCCCCAGTTACTGTCTAAATTCAAAGGCTTTTAGTAATATATAGTATGTTCTTCACTCCACACCATATAAAAAGCCCACATTTGAGTTTAACTAGCAGTCACCTGTGTTTGTGAACAAGAGCTGGGCTTGTCAGCGTTTAAATTTGCATGTCCAAAATTTTACTTTTGCAAGTGCATATGAATACATTGTGGTGTTGCACAAAGTTCATTAATGACAAATTAAGTCACAGTATAAAAATATATCATACAACTATAGGTCTAGTATAGTCCTTTTTTCTATGGGTAAAAATACATCTGAATGAGACAGGGAGGTTTGTAGCACCATGAGAGGAGTTGTATCCCAAGTTACATTAGCAGCATGATCCAATATAACAATATTGCAGGAGTGTTTCTGAGGAGATAAACATTCACTCTGGTTCAACTGTACCACTGAAGCTTATACTGAAGTGTTTACATATGATTAGCAATAGTTCTGTGTCACTTCCAGGGCTAGATAACTGTTATCAAAAGACACTGCCTTCCAACAAAAGTAAGACACCCTTACTGCATAAAAGCTTTGGGACTATCCAAACACATTTTGAACTACTGTGGCATTATCTGTATGTTGAGCATAATGCTATATAGGCTGTGGCTTTAACTGTACACTGGGAGGATGCAGGATGGGCAGCTAAGCCTATGCAGTTTACTACATGCTAAATAATTACATTTATTTCAGAGGCGTATCTATAGACTGAGAAGAATACAGGATGAGCTGCTAAACCAGTGTATGAGACAGACATAACGAAGGATGCAATCCTGCTCCCCCTGACTTTACGGATGCAGGATAAGGCCCTAAGTCAACTTCAGACAGCAGCATAGCGATGACAGGATATGGTAAAAAAGATCTGTATCAAATACTGCATGTTAAAACATTTTTTGCCATAGTTTACCATCCAGAACTCCAGAGGACACAGTTTGCATTTGGTGAGGACAAACTCCTTTCGTTTGACTGGTATTCAAAATGGCAGTAGAAGACAGTGTAGTTTGAAACATGTAAACCTAGTAAAAACCATTGTAAAACCCTTAAGAAAGACACACTGGTTCTGTGCAATATAGCAAATTGATAAGAAAACACTGTAAAAATGTACCTGTTTAAAATTACAATGTCTACCATTTTGTACACAAAGCATTATACCAAAGGCCTACATATATGTAATCTAATGGCACTTGAAACAAATTATAATAAAAGGTTTTATAATAAAAAGCATAACCTGTAAGAAATTTTCTTAAAAGGTTTAGGTTTTCTTTTTGAAAGTGCTATATCTTGTAATATGTGTAACATAGAGGTTGACCAAGCTTTATTTTAAAAAATATTGGCCTATAATACAAGTTTAGCTCACTAGGCAAATGATCCTGAAAATATGTACTCTTAACATTCATTATTAGCTTAATAAAGCAATCAGCTCTGGCTCATGTTTCAGTCAGTATATGGTTTTTAAAAACCGCTACTGCCAAATTAACAATAAATCACTCTATTCCACAATTTACTACTAAATAAAGCACAAGCAACAAGTACACAAAAATATATATATTAAAAAAAAAAAAAAGGAAACAAAACCCAAAACAAGAAAACAAAAGAACCTTACTAGAAATCTAGAAGTTGCACAAAGAGTGGTGCATGATCAGCCAGCCCTCCCCCCTCCCACCAAGAATCCATCTGAAATCGAGAAGACAGGGTTCGAAAACTGATGGTTTAGTAGTGGCCAATAGTGACTCCGCCTAAGTGATACTCAAAAGCACTCTGGTGGTGGTAGTATTGCTTACAGTGTCAGTCTGCTTCCACGTTACCGTACACCCTAGTCCAGTGGCAAACACGCTTGGTGCAGGCACCCACTGAAACCCTGACTGAATGAGGTTCAATATCTTGTCTGAGGTCCCTGTTTCTTAAGTGAAATGTACATCTAACCCCAAAGTGAAATGTCAATCCCTTTTCAGGGAGCTAAGGCACGAAACAAAGTAGTAAGGATTCTGGCTACGCGCTGAGAAATAGGTGTTGGCAATGTGTCTGTATGGGGTTTCTTTTTGTAAATGAAGTCTAATCGGCAACTGAGCCTGATAAACAGCCGCAATGGATTGGGAATTTGTGTGCCTGAGGCTGCACAGCCACACCGCTGGGCTGGCTGCAGGGTGCTGAACACTCCCAACTTTCCAAACCACTGGAGGAATTAAGTTCATTTATCTTCATCTCAGACTGATTTAAAAGATTGGAAAAAAACCCGAGTTCTTCCTAGCTGCATTATGGTTGCCGATTTAAACCAGAGTTACATTCAGTTGCATTTACCTTGTGCTCTGTTCATCTGTGTTTTTCTTTCCTTTAGAAAGGTGAAAGAGAAAAGAAGCAATATTGAACAAATCATTCAACTAAGATGTAAGCGAGCAATCTGTTTCACAGAAACCAGAGGAAGCAGTCATGAAGCAGAGCTAAAAGCCCACTTTGAGATAACGTGCTCCTAAACCCAAAATCTAGGAGTAGTTTGCAGAATTTCAAAAGGTATTTTCCTTATTAATACATCCTTATTTTAATGCCTTTGGAACAAAAACACATTTATAAAAATGTTATCTTTCAGTAATAAAATTTAAATACACATATGTATAAAATAGTAAAACTACACCTGCATATTGCTCCTAGAATTACAAAAAAAAAAAAAGTAGGAGCTACCGATAAAACATCTGGAGCATGAGCTCCTTAAATGGGAGCAACTTTTGTTTCTGTGAAGTATATTTAGTTTAACCACTTAAAACCTTGTACGAATTCTCATTATTGTTTGAGAGATACTAATGTACTTGATCTCTATTTTTTAATTCCTTGTACAAAAATGACAAGGAAAAGAATGTTACTGTTGAAGTACAACAAATCTAGTTTGCTTTCATGCATCACAGGGTTGTTTTTTTTTTTAATCTTTTGGTTATTAGGGGTTGGGGAATAGAATATATTGCATTAGGTAAAAGTGGTGTAAGCAATATGCTTTTACTTCACTCCTAAGAGTCCTGTCTTTAAATCTTGGCAATGGGCAAAAAGTCCCTAACCAAGTACCCAGGTGTAGAAAGTGTGATTAACATCTAACTTGTTGCTTAGGAGGACATAACACACCATGTAACATAACTGAAAAGATCATTCCAATAGGAAAAGTAAAAGGAAAAACAAAACCAAAACCCAGTATTTGCAAATTTACATTCATGCTCTGACTGCACACTAGTTTTGAACTGAAAATAGATACACACTTTCTGGCTGGACTTGAACCACCCTTTGGCGGTGGCAGCTGGGAGAAGACTGATGCCTACAAATGTGAATACACTACTGGAAGATTCCTATGAAGTACTCTTTCTATACTACTAAAGAGAAAAAAACAACAAGAATTAAAAACTGCGACAAAATATTCTGCATTACAACATTACAACGCTTTTATATTTCAAGATCAGCCATTAATTTTGCCTGTTTGCCTATACCAGAGTCATGAAAGCACAACAACACAGTTCCAAATTCAACTTGAAACATTTGTCATCCAGGCAAGAAGAGATTCTCTGTTGAAATTCTGTTCAGCCATGACTTTAGAGAATTAAACTAATTTTGTTTTTCATCTGTTATCTGTAACAGGACAAAAAAATTTAAGCCAGAAAATGGCAAAATTATCAACACCTTTTATAATGACTTCCATACAAGTCAAATGCTATATATATATATGTATATGTGTATATATGGAGTTCTATATATACACAAAGTTTTCAGGAAAATCTGAATTCTCTATTTATTTAAAAAAATTTAGATTTGTCATTATAGAGCAGATCAGACATGACACCATATGGGAAGAGGATTTGTTTGGAAATGAACTGGAAACACATATTTTTTTCCCAAATCTTCAGGAATCTTTGTGATACATACTTTAGCTGGATTCTTTGCAAATAGTAAAATATATATTAAAAGTGGTGGTAGCTCTACCACTGACATCAATAAAACGGAATAGCTGGTATGGTTGAAAAAGTTATGACAAAGGGATGAGCGCTGAGAGTTTGCTTGGGATGACTTTCTACTGAGCATTTTCAATGTGTCAATTGGCAGTGAAAATGAAAACAATACAACGAGACTGCTTAAAAAAAAACAAACCCAACAAAGTAAACACAGCTGAGAATAAACACTTTCAAAACATTTTTAAAAAGTTAATTTAAATTTCTTACTGGCTTCATGAGATCGGTACTGTACAAAAGCAGAGAATTTATAATGTCTTATAGTAGGCACTAAGTTAAAAATGGTCACCTAAGGCATTTCTACAAATAGACAGTAACAAGCCAGCTTTGTACATCCTATTGGAAAGCTTGATGAAATCGTGGTAGGGTGGTGGTTGTGCTTAGACTGCTTGTGAAAGCTGCTGACAACGAGTGCAGAGACCCAAGACCTATACTATTGCTAGGATCTTGTGGATCCTGGGTTTGTGGTGGAAGTTGAGTCATAGAAGAATGTGCCTCCTCTTGCGTGTAACTCATTCCGAGGTTCCCTACTGAAACGGAAGGATTATAAGGAGGGCCATTTACAGGTATGAAGTTGAACAGCTGAGAAAAGTCCAATGATGGGGTGTTTAGAGGTTCACTAATAGGAACAGAGCCCTTGGAAAGGGAAACCTCCCCAGACCCATCATCTAGTGGCCCTACTTGTGGATCCAGCCCTAGTTTTGATGAAGATGCTTGAGAATCCTGGGATGAAGAAGGCATACCACTTTGCAACTCCATTAAGTAACTTTCGATTTCCCCTTTCAATGGCTGTTCTTTTTCAGGCATAGAAATTGCATATGAGGTAGTACCGAGTGGATATTTCAACGATAGCTGGTGAGGAGGGTGGACAGACTCCATATCTATTGGACAAGGCATTCCCAATGGTAATGATGTGGCAACCATTTGGTGTGCAGATGCAGAACTCTGCATGGATTGAATCTGAGTGTTGTAGAGATTTAATTGCAAAGTGTTTGTAAATGGCTTTGATGTCAGTTCACTGGAAGGTAAAGACATCACTGGAAGCAGCTCATCTTTAATAGGCACAGAAACATTGCAGGTAAAGGGATCTAGAAGGTCCATTGGCTCTGTTTTGACCTTCAAAAGTTCTTGGTTGTGACTTTTCTTCATGTGACGCGTGAGGTGATCCTTCCGCCCAAATCTCTGTGCACAGTACTGACAGAGGAAGTCCTTTCTTCCAGTGTGCACTACCATGTGTCTACGGACATCCTTTCGGGTGTAGAACCGACGATCACAGTGTTCACACTGGTGTTTTTTCTCCTTCACTCCACCCGATGACTTGCCTGCGTGAGTTTTTAGGTGCTCCAACAGCACTCCTGTGCTTTCAAAAGTCTGCAAACATACCTTACAGGTGAGGTCACCGCTTGTTGCAGCATGCAAAGCCAGGTGACGTTTGAACCCAAGCTTGGTATTGTAGTTCTTTCCACATTCTTCACACTTAAAGGCCTCTTTGTTGGGATTGTGTGTATGTAGGTGATTCTTTAGGTGATCTTTTCGGTGAAACATTTTCTCACAATAATTACACTTGTGGGTTTTCTCAGGAGAATGAGTAGCCATATGCCTTTAAACACAGATATATTCTGTAAGTAATTATTTTGATCAAAAAACACACGTGCTCATTTTTTAATGGCAGCTAAATACTACACTAAAGGCTGCTTTGCAACAGAACCTTTTAACTGAAAGCATGACACTACATAGACAGTTCAACAAATTTAAATATAGCAAAACGCGAGCCATTTCTCTTAAATCGACACTTTTAGGTTTTGGTGGGTTTTAGCTACTGTAACAGTGACATATAGACAAGTATGAAAGTACTCATGTAAAAGTCCATAGCCAAAAAATTTTCAGTCCATACTCTTTTTCTTGTGACAATTCCTTATACAAATGAAAATTCTATGCTCATTTAAAAACAAAAGAAAACAAAAATAAAAACAAACAAACAGAAAACAAAAGCAGAAAACAAATTAAGAAACAAAATCAAAGACATTAGCTTGCAAACTTTAGGTAATTTAGAATTCTAGAAACAATCCAATGGCTACTTTAATTAACACATCCTCTCTGCAATCAGCTGAAGGCGTACAAGTATATACTTTTACACGGCTTAACACGGCCAACATAAAATAGATAATATAATCTGAAAGATAAATAGAGTTTAATACCTTAGTAATTTGTATTTAGAAACAAAGGCCTTGGTGCAGTCTTGTTGTGTGCACTTGTAGGGCCTCTCTCCTGTGTGAGAGTATGAGTGAACCTTTAATTTCTCAACACTGTTAAAGGCCTTGTCACACAGTTGGCAAGGAAAGTTTTTTCTTGGTTTGGTTTCACCACGCTTACGTTTCCCTGAAGGGACTTTCTGGGTATCTCTTACTTCTGACAAATCACCAGGAATGACAGTGGCCATCGCAGCCTAAACCAGGCCTTCTTGTTGGACACTTGGGAATTGCCCAACTCCACTAAATGATTTAGCTTTAGATGGCTTCTCAAGTTTCATGTGGTCGTAAAAGAAAGCAAAAGGGGACTGGAAAAAAAAATAAGAAACAACTAGTTTGTAACTAAACTTAGATTTTGAAGTTTACTTGCTATGTGATGCTTCTGAATAAAACTTAAAAATAAAATTAGGTTCAGCTGGTCTAATGTAATACCTGCAGGTTTGTTTTTTTGGTTTTTTTTAACACTATTTGCTGCAACTCTTATAATGCATTGCTCAGGATGAACAGATCCACATATGCCCTGAAATCACACCTCACAACCTTCCCCTCAAACACTGATGAAGAACAGCAAAGTTCCTGTCTGATTACGGGAGGCACTAGGCAAAGAGCCTACCTACCTACCTACCCAGATGGCTTTTGGCAGCTTCGGATTTCAAAGGAATTAAAGGCACGCCTGTGGTGTTTGCACAGACACACGCACACACACATGCACACACTTATCACAGTGAGAATCTGTAAGGCTCAAAGTGTTTGAAAGCCTGTGCGAGAAGTGGCAGTACCCAATGATGACAGTCTGAGGGGGCAAAGCTCATGTTCTCAGGTGTACTTCCTCGCTGAGGTTACTGCACGTCTACGCATCTACTCTAGTGAAACATAAGCACTGACACTGATTGCTAATGCCAGGTGAAATTCTCCTGTGAACTTACCCTTCACTAACAGAGACCTGACGTATTAACAACAGAAATCCTATGGATTAGGGATAGATTATAGACAGATTAGGGTTTTATCAGCGCAGTAATGGAGACCTCCACTCCCCTCATGTTATCCTGGAAGATGTAGGGGCTATAAATGTTCAGATTTAGGCTAGCTCAGGATGGAGGCTCTTAGTTCTGTTGGGGCATTGCAAACCATAAACTAAACCAGACACTTTTGGCTAAAGGAGGTGCATGATACTCATGTCTAAATTGTGGGTGAACAGCTTGAAATTCATCATCTGGTAACATATAGTAGCAACTGGGCACCTGCTATTACATGGCACTCAACAGCCCTCCTTTGTCAGTGGTAGCTTTCAGCATTTTTTCATCATCAGAGCACAACTGCTACTACAGATACCAAAACCCAGTGCAGGAAAGGTGGAGTGCAAGGTCTGCGGCAGCGGGAATGAGGAAGACAACAGGAAGACTCAATGCAAGTGTTTAGCAGGGCTGGAAAGCCCTGAAGAGTGGCTTTTCTCCCTCAAAAGTATGCCGTCCCCCCCAGCCCCGGTGTCATGGCCCACAGCTGCTGTCCGCTCCAGCCTTAGCCAAGGCAGCTGCTGCAGCAGAGGCGGCTGTGCTGGGCAGCATGGAGGCTGGAGGCTGTGGCTGGGATGGGGGCTCAGTGGCCAACCATGGGCCAGCAGCTGCTGGGACAGGTGGAGCTCGGAGCCTGGAGCCAGGCAGGGAGCTCCAGTCTGCAGCTGCTCAGCGTAGCACCACCTCCTCAATGAACAGAGTGGGCTCCTCGCTGCTGGCAATGAAGGAGGATGAAGAGCTCACGGTGGCCTGGGCCCAGCCTCAGCTGTCCTCTCTCCCTGCTGAGACCTGAGCAGTGCCCAGGAGCAATGGGGGCAGAACTAAATGGTCCTTGCAAGAGCCCCAGCGTGGTCCTGGAGAAAAGCGAGCCTGTGTGTTCCTCAATGCATGGCAGGATGGGAGGGCTGGAGGTGCAGGGAGGGGGAGAAGGGGGATGCACCTCCTTAATGTCCGCATTTTACGAAATACTCATACTGACATCTCCACTTGAAATGCATACACAGCATACTGTTGTCTATGCCTCTTCCTCCCTCCTCCCCATGACTTTTCCTTTGTCTTTACAAGAGGAGAGAAGTACTGGCACACCAAGATGGAAATCTGCTGCCTTCCAACCTAATGTCCTTGAATATCAGGTTAAACCCTACTACCAGCTCTAAGTGAGACATTTTGTAAGACCACCTTTACTCGCCCCAGTTATATATGGAACCACTAACCTTTTTAAAGATACCCAGTGACTGAAAGATCTTTCTTTAAGGACTCTTACGATTTCAGATTTGTCTTTGACTCATTCCCACTCATGCGACAAAGTCTGAAGACATCTGTCCCATGAATGGGAACATGCACAGGTCTTCAAAGGATCAGCTTAATTTTATGTTCTGTCTCATAACCAACTATCTAGCTCATAAGTAAAAAAATGAAACAGTTGTTTGGAGACTTGGGAGCAACAATTTTCTGCAATAAAAGTAAATGAAGACCAGGTCCAATGTCAATGAGCCCGCCAATGGAATCAAAAGGAAGGTCTCATTCACATCAAAGTTGTGATGTATTTGGGGATTGAAAGATTTTTTCCAGTGTACCCTTTAATCAGAATCTGGTAATAAAATTAATTTTGCTTTCCTGTAAACAAACACACTGGTCTTCTACTCATATTGGCCTGAAAATAGAATGAAATATTGTTTTAGTCTAATGTCTTCTGACAAATGAAGTCTGGGGGCAGGGGGAGAAAAAAATCCAACCTGATCTACTTAACAGACAGTATATCTATACCACACAAGCACCTATCGAAGACCTGCTACATCGAGCTGACAGTGCAGCAGCCATAACCCTCACTGCGTGGCTAGGACACCTAGTCTCAGTGGGGTAAGAAAAGGCTGTGATCTCCTTCACCTCCCTACCAAATCTATAGACTGAGACAAGGCAGGCAGCATTAGCAAGCAAAGGGCAAGAGAACCACCTTCAGAGTCTGTGGCTGGGGAGCATGGTTAATTTGACCATGCTGGGTCCAGAGTCCAGCAGCAAGTGGCTTCTCTGCCTAGCTGGTGACCAGGGAAGCAGGCACAGCTGGTAGGATACAGCAGAGAAAGTGAACTGTTGCAGGGGGCACAACAGACAGAACCTAGATGGGGCTATAGGGGCAGGGAGGCGCAGGGAGCGCTGCATAAGGGTTGGGAATATCTAAGAACATGAGGATAGGGGTGAATTGATGGGGACAGGTGGGGAAAAACTGAACATGCATCAAGTCTGGGAGATGCAAAATGTTAGGGCATGCAGAAGGATGATATGCAGGGTCTGATGCGAAGCCAAAAGCAGTTCTTGCTGTGGAACAGCATACCAGCTTAAATTAACAACTCTGACAACTTCACCCTCCTTTTCTCAATGCAAAGATCATACCTTAGGCTGGAGGTTTAGACTGGATATGAGCTAAAATTTCTTTACCAAAAGGGTGATCAGGCATTGGAACAGGCTTCCCAGGGATGTGGTGGAATCACTATCCCTGGAAGTGTTTGAAAACTGTGTAGATGAGGCCTTCAGTTGAAATGGTTTAGTGGTGGACTTGGCAGTCCCTGGGTCATGGCTGGACCTGATGATCTTAAAGGTCTTTTTCAACCCAGCTGATTCTATGATTCTATATTCAGGCCAATCTTCTCCAAAACTTCAGGTAACCTAGTTGCTGCACCAGAAGTAATTCAGAACATTCACGAGATGAATTCAGGATTTTTTCCTCGATGATCAAAATGAATTAAGCTGACTTTGAACTGTGCTTAAATGTCCTTAAATATGCATCACTAGAACAAATATAGTGTGGATCCAATCTTTGATAATGACAGTGTTTTATTAAAAGACATGTACTATTATCTTAGTACCATTTCTCAACAGATGAAGAACTTCAGTATTGATCTCTGAATAGTAAATAACCACTTTTTTTTTTTTTTTTCTTGTGGACTGAGCAATGGAGATAAAACTTAAAAAACCACTGATCCTCAAATATTACACTTTCCAAAGACCAGCTGAAAGAATTTTATGAGTAATATTGCCTGCTTGTGTCTCAACATATTATCACTTAAAATCCTGATTCTTACTGGTGCTTTCACAACTGCAGGATGAATGATTATATGCAGTATCAAATATAGCAAAAAAACACATTACACAAAACCTCATATATAATACTATCTTTAAACAAGTATATACTTAAAGCAGAATTAAAGCAGCCTCTGTTCAATGCACACCTGATGTTTGCCCACTAAAGTCCTCAGATTTTGGTCTTAACCAGTTCCGCTGACTCTTCTTGGAGGAAACCAGAATCCAGTACTTCCCATTTTTACTGGTCTGAAAAACAAAAGGAAGAACGGACTAGACTCCAGCGAAACCAGTACATTCAGAAAGGCTGGGATGCAGCAAGACTGAGGGATGGAAAAAATCAGAAAGGAAAAGTTAAAAGGGATAGATCCAACCCATGCACAGAAAATTATGTACTGTTAATTATAAACTGTAGGAATCAATCGTTCTTGCATTATCAGTAGCAATTATGCACTTCAATTTGCAGTATACTTACATCATTTCAACTAATGCTATGCTGGACAGTAACACATAAAGAGATAAAATTAGACAAAAGCAAAGGAGTTTTCGATAAAGTTAAAAACAAAACAACAACTTCCACAGACCACAGATAATTTAGAAATAACATCAAAATGTGTAAAATGTTGGGCCCAGACTTGAGTTTCTTACTCAGGAAGGGCTGAATAAGAGAAGATTTCTGGATTAGGCCCAACTTTACTAGAACCTAATGCCTTCATTGTGCTTAATTATACAGGAAATAGCAGCTTAAAAGGTGACCTGCAAAGGAAAATAAAATTAATTTAAAAAAATAATAAAGCCTCTTAATGATGCACATGCTACAGGTAAATCCCAGTGGAGGCAAGTCTAGGTGTGCCTGAGCAAGTCCAGAGGGCCTTTCTGGAATTTCCCTTGTATCTCCCTTTTCCTTGCCACCATCCTTTTGTAATTTGCAGCATGTCTTCCTTTTCTTGCTAGAAGGCCTCCTGGATGACACAGGCATAAGTGGAAAATGTTCAGTGTCTCACTGTAATGGGAAGGTTTATCCCCTCCAACTCTTCCAGAGAGTTAAGGGCGAAGCCCTGTGCAGTGTGCACATACCCCACGTGGCATAGCAGGCTGCAGGTATTTGGCAGGAACCCAGGAGGAATGTAACATTTCCCTCACACAAACCATCTTCCCTTCTCACTTCCCATTCACTCCATCAAAGTATTCTTCCTTTTGATACCACGTTCAGCTTCACACAGCCCCAGCCTCCTCTGATGGCAAGCATGAATGTGAGAAAACCAGCGTCCTTGAACATCTATTAAAGGCAAAAGTGCTTCAGAGCAACCGACTGAAGCTTTCTGACAGTTGAGGAGCATTTACTTGGGGCTCCAGTACCCAAAGAAAAAGTGACAGATTTGTTTTCCACTAAGAAGCAAGAAAGGGAACACAACTCTCATCTCTTTGGGGGTCCCCAAGTCATCTTCTTTCAGGGCAAAAATGCCAACTCCTCATTCACTCTCCCAGCAAGAGCCTTATAAATTAGTTACCCTGCAATGCCTATCGCAGCATCTTCCGCTGCCACAGCAGAAAGGAAGAGCTTCACTATTCAGATTTTTCTAATGTAGCTCACACTATGTAGACAATATTTAAGACAGCCACACAAATGTAATGAACTAAGTCCTTATGGACTTAGTCCCTCCACTACCAGTATTTACAGACTATTCCCTATTCAGAACTACACATGCCTCCTGCTCCCAAATTCTGCCTAAAATATAATGTCCTCTCAACACTGTGTTTCCTCTTACATGCTTATGGTACTCAGTTCTCAACACATATCTGAAGTCTCTCTAGCAAAAAGCAGATGCCCTCAGAAGACAGGCCATTAGAGGCATGGAAAGACTTGTATCAGAGGAAACTGAAGCAAGTAAGCAAGCAACCAGATGGGAGTTAAAATGCTGAAGGTACTCTTTATTCATTACCTTATGAATACAGCAAAATCACAGTGCAGTGGATCCAGATGAGGGCAATGCTATACCTACAATTAGCTGTGGCCTCAGCTTCTAGACCATAATTAAGCAGAGCTCAACAACATAAACACAAAAAGGGGTAAGTTTGTATGAATAATGAAAATATTTGCTACATTTGACAAGATTAACACAAAGCGTACTATAATTCTTATGCTTTGTGACAATAAATCAGCTATTTGATAAAAGACATTTTCTCCTGCACAGAATATAAAAGTTGTCTCTGATAATGCTGAATGCACCTCTCAGAAGCTTTTGAAGCTAGCAAACGTCTGAGGCAGAATACTTAACAAAGACGAACCATTTTTCTCATAACTGCTTAGAGTGTTTACGTTTTCTTCTGAACTAGATGAGTTAGGAACAATCTTTTAACAAATAACAAAGCTCAAATTATTTTCCACGTGAAGCAGAGAAGCATCACACTGCAGAAAACACTGTCACAGCACATGCCCCAAACACTTTGCGAACTAGTAACAAAATACAGCCACTGTGATTTGTCAGATTACAATTCCTAGAACTGATCACCTCTGCCAGTATCTGCGAGGCACTAACTTTGCTAACTCTCCAGGCACCCTGTTAATTCCAGATTAGACAATATTTGAATTTCTATCACCCAAGAAGCCAAAGAAAACAAAACAAAACCCAAACCCTAAGCTAAATCTTTTACTCCTAGTTTTAATATTAAAAAAGATTAACATACTTTTTTCAAAACTCGCAGTGCATGTTTAAAAATCTGAAAAACAGCTACACTTGAAAACGTTTTAGAACATTATTTGATATCTAAATTAGAAGGATAATGAAGACATTACATGAATGCAACCAATAATCCTCCTCCTAATTTGCATTTGTTACTTCTCTTAAATGTCCAAGCACAGTAAAGGATAACACCAGTTTCACGGCTATTTTCTTGCAAAATAAGAGAGCAATAATGAGAACACAGCACGGAGAACACTGTATCTGTCCTTCTGCCTTGTATAGAGGATAGTGAATCTAGCTTCGAATCCTGGTATTAATCCATTTTAAACCAGAAGAAGATTCCTAGAAACATTAGTCATAATAACGGTGGAACTGGTTAAGAATTTAATAGTATTACAGACTCATCCTGGGTTTTAAATATTTCTTTAAGGAAACAAAATGAAAAGCAGTTACTTACCCTACGGAAACTGTGATTCTTTAACAAGTGCTGTCCACACAGATCCCAGGTGAGCATGTACTCACATGAGCAGGAGCAAGTTCTCTGAAGAGGGTAATGTCCATCCAGGCTGTGCCTGTGAACCCTCCCAACTGCTACTGGCAGTGGCATGAGGCGAAGGGTTCCTGACCAGCACCATGCATGTCATCACACCACCTAACATGCTCTGCAGCAACAGCAGCTCCCAGTTCTGCTCTTCACTCACGCCGTGGGGAAAGAGCTGTTACATATGCCACTGCCATCAACATACTGCTTTGGGAGGTGACAACCTCCCTCTTCAGTAGCTGACGTAGCCCTGCTGTTCCCAAACCTGATGCTGATGTGGAGGAGCTGACAAAGTTTGCTGTGGCTGAAGAAAGGGAGCAGGGCCATGGGAGAAGAATATGTGGGGAAGAGGTGATGTCCTAGCTGGGAGCACAGTGTGAGGAGTGGAAAGCTGAAACACAGACTGGCATCCTGGGTAGGGAAGAGGGAGGATGAATACGTGCAGCCCAAGGAAGCCAGGAGCTGCTGCTGCTCAGGGTGGTAAGGGAGCAAATTAAGCTCAGGATGCCTGGTAACTTCTCTCACTGAGGTTTGCTAACAGTAAAGGCTCATTCAGAGAGAAGGACAAGAAATAGCTTGGGGTGCCTCTATGGAGAGTGTGCCTGGAAGAACCACAATTACTGTAGCATAAGTAACCATTTTTCTTCTTTTCTGTATCAGGAGATTATTAGTCACCTGACTAAAAATGCTGTGACAGAGGAAACCTGCTCTGACCAAGCAGTCAAGGGTAGCTGAGGCAGCTGAGCTGAAGGAGGCATCAGCAAGCATGAGTCAACATAGCCATGTACCATGGCTCTGCTAAAGAGCAGCAGAACTGAGCTAGATTTAATCATGTCTGCTCCTCACAGCTGAGGCTGCTAAAACTGCGCAAATGTCACCAATGCTCCAGAGGTGAAGGGATCTACCCCTGGATTAATGCAACTGAAGGAGCACCATTTAGCTGCCTGCTTTCCCTGTGCTATGGGCTTACACACAAGTCTCTCACTGGGCAATTCAGTTTGTGGAGGTGTAGATTTAGCCCTCCTTCCTTCAAACACCTCTGCTATGACAGCTGTTGGAAGGGGCTGAGGGCATAAGTGATGACAGCTCCAGGACAGCACGCTGAGACCTGCAGCCCTGCAAAGTTCAGCCACTCTTCCTGGCTCATCAAGGATCAACGTGCCTACTGCACACTAGCACTGACCTCAGAACGGTAGATCTCACAGGCTTTGTCGAAAAATGCTAGGTTTTTGCAGCAGAAAGCCTCATCTCAGAGCAGGAAAGGGGAAACAAAGTGAGAACTCTATGGCCTGAGGTCTCCTACATCTGGAAGCTCAAGCTAAGGCTTTGATGGTGGAGGACAAGGAGGAAGAACAGGCATTGCTGGAATGAGACTTAACCAGAAGGTGGGTTTGACCGGGGAGCCTGCCTATCCTAGAAGGGGCTCAGCCTGCACTTTCACAAAGTGATACTTCATTTAATTTCCTGCCTGTTTTATTGTGTAATTTGGAAGTGATTTGAACAGGAAGCAACATGTACGCACATGTTCCTGCCCCAAGCAGTAAAGACACCTGGCATAACTGTCTACAAACACAGCACTGCGAGACGGCAGTAGGGACCGATCTCAACCCCTAGAGCCCTGCCGTCAGCCACCATGGCCTTTCATAGGGGAGGCAGCAAGAAGGTCAGAGCCAACAAGTACACTACTGGACAGCAGCTGGGAGTTAAGACAGGGCTCTACAGCTCCTTGCCTTTAGCTTGTGAAGGAACAGCTTGTAAGAAGATACAGGGGTCCACACTGAGGCCCGAGGGGAACAAGATGGCACTGAGAGGTGGGTGAAGCCACGCGGCCTTTTGCTTTTTGAGGCAACAGCTACTGTAAATAGCCATTCAAAGACGTAGACGCTGGTGCTACCATACAGCAGTGTCTCATGTAAGGGGAGCACACACACACATGAACAACAAAAGAACAGATAGTTTGGTTGGGTTTTTTAAATATATACAAGGCTGTATTTATCTTATCTTGAACTTCAGGATTTCTCCTT